ATTTTTTTCAAAATCTATTGCTGGCAATATTTTTTTGTCAAAAATCTATTACGGGTAATAATTTTTTGTTAAAAATATATTGCTGGTAATATTTTTTTGTCAAAAATCTATTGCTGGTAATATTTTTTGTCGAAAATCTATTGCTGGTAATTTTTTTTTTTCACAAATATATAGCTGGTAATATTTTTTTCCAGAAATGTATTGCTGGCAATATTTTTTCTTAAAATGTACTTCTGGTATTAAAACCTATTCTTACACTTTCATAGGGTTATGACGACAGTTTGCCGGGTGAGATATTTGCCCATAGTTAGGAATCTAACAGGTACTAGCACCCCGGGTCGGGTGGACCTGGAAACACCAGCAATTAACAGGCTGTTTCAAGCTCGACAAAACCTCATGACCAGAAGTCTTGCTGCTCGACGTAGTTTATCGTCTTACCTAGGACGCGGATGAAGTATCTCGTCATACCCAGGACAAGAAATACACATTGGATCATTGATTAGTTAACTAATATTGCATAATACACGTATAGTGAGATCTGTCCTCATTCAGGCGCAAAGATTTTGTCTTCTGTTTTTCTGCGTTAGCTAGGCTAAAATGCAATGTCATCGTTATAAGCAAAGGTCTGTTTTACGGTTTACAATGATTTCTGTAATGTTATAGTGGTAAAAGAAAATCTATCTGAAAGATAATTCTGAAGAATATGGAAGAAACTTCCCGAATGTAATCTCTTCCACTTATTTACGTGGAAATTACAACTTCTCCGGCGAGGAGAAAAAGAACACCGTTCGAGTGAGTATGTTTCCAGCTAGAAATACAGTTTAGATATCGAGTTTGTAGCAGCAAATTGTTATATAAAAATACTAAATTAAAATATATTTTGAATTTGCCGTGTTAAGGCTTATCATATCCATAGATATGCAACCTCTAAAGATGGTCACAGATGAGATTGAAAATACTTAGGAAAATAAAAATTATTTGAAAGAAAATTTTAGAATTTTTCGTAATCAATTTTCTACAGCAACCAATAAATTGATTAGTGGACTTGAAAGGATTAAGACTAAATTTAGTAGACATAATCCGTCTAAATTATTTAACCAGACATACTTGAATGAAAATATGCTAACATATACACACACACATATATATAAGTGAACATTGAAGTCATCAAACACTTAGAGGCGACAGACTGTTTCATTCTAAACGCAATCGTCAGGCCTGAAGAGAATATATATTTGTCTCCTTCTGACGCATTTTTCTTCTTTCACTTCCGGCGCCCTCCTTACTCTTTTAAACCCTGCACCTCTGATTGGCTATTGGGCTTTATATATATATATATATATATATATATATATATATATATATATATGTAAATTGTGTGTGTGAGGTCCATATGTGTGTCTTTGACACTTTGTTTCATCCCTGAACGCAATCAGTGCGTTTAAGCATGAAACCTGTGTGGCCGCTGGGTGCTGACCTCACTGACAATTTGTTTATGTTTACATAGGCTCTCCAGCTGTACCAGATGTCGAGCACTTGAATGTAACATACCTTACTGCTATATATGTGTCTGTGTGAATGATGTACTGAAAATAAAATGTCTGATTTATATTCACGGAAACTACAAGTTATCGAAGTAGCAGAAAAAAAACAAAAAAAAATCTCACTCGACAGAACACGTTCTCAGTTGCGAGAATAGTGTTTTGAAACAAAATCACCGGCCGTAGCTATGCATTTCCGTAAGCGATAAAGAAGACTTCAGATGACGTTCATTTAAACATCATTAGTTATGTATATTGTTTTCACAGACGATTCTATGTGCCTTGTCTCTTCAGGACGTTGGCAAACAATTTCCTGTCCATTGCAGATTGTAATAAATGTCGTCTTTTTGTATTAAGCTCGTTAGGTAAGTTATGCGCTGTTTTTATCTTGCTTTCAATCTATCCTGTAAGTAACAAATTTTCCAAGTCCTCTATCCTCAATAAGGGTCCTAGGAATTTCAACTGTGTCTTCTTGATGTTAATTACAAGTGACCGTTCTGTTTTCTTTATTTCTATAATTCCGTCATTGCTCACGTTCCATTTCGGATTTGTATTAGCACGTTTTCTAGTTTTTTCGCTCTTTCTCGGGTTTAAAAAATTATATAATAGAAAATCTGTCTGAATTATTATATATTAGACTACCCTTGACGGGTTGGGTCACTGACGTTTCAGGTTATGAAACATTTGAAGAAAGTTGAAATAAAAATACTTATTCAATAAACAATTCGTATTTTTAAATCTTACTCACTTAAAATATTTTAAATCAGATTAAGTTAAAAATATTTTTAATATGCCAAAAATATTTTAAAATCATATTCACTTAAAAAAAAAAAATTTAGAATATGCCAAAAATGTTTTTTTTAATAAAAACCCTTTTTCACTGTAAAAACAGTTTAATAATAATAATAATCTAATAATCCAATGCAATGTCTCGCACTTCTCGCCTGTGGAATTCCCTTCCTATTACTTGTTTACCTGATAGCTATAATCTCCAACTATTCAAATGTAATGTCAATCGACATCTCCAGATGGCTTGATCTATTTCCTGTCCATCCTTTCTTTTACCACGCCTTTTTACTCTCACTCCCAGTCTCTGTAACACCTTGCGTCCTAGTGGCATCCCGCCTTGCTTAAAAAATAAATAAAATATTGTCTGTTTAAAGAAAGCTGAAATATAAATAATTACTCTACAAACAATTGAACGAAACAGCAAAGTGGGATCTCTTTGTGTCTGTCTAATTTTAAAAAAATTAATTAAAAAATTGTCTGTTTGAAGAAAGTTAAAATAAAAATACTGTATGAACAGCTCGTATTTTTAAATCTTATTCACTTAAAATATTTTTAAAATCAGATTAACTTAAACGCACCAGACAAACATCAGAGACTTTTAGTATTATATAGACAGATATGATGAAGGCAATATTGTAAATATTGTGATAAAATATTAATTATTTACATATGTTTTGGACGGTGTGAGCCTGTTCTCCTCGAGTGTCTGTTAATACTCTTAGCCTTCCAGGAATTTTAAACTGGGCTTATTTAAACTAACCGAATCGGCAGGCACCCGAAGAAGGCCGGGTGACTCAACGTCCAAAAAGGTTGTGATAATAGCCAAAAACATAAAGACATTAGTGTGACTGTAAAAAGCTAAATAATGGTAACTTCTATTTGCAGGAATTCAGACAGAAATTAAAACATTAAAATAAATTAAAAAAAAACGTATTAATCTGAAAAATTATTTACTATCATCTGCTTTTTTATTACCTTCAATGTGCCTGGAGAGAAATTCTCTAAAATATATTTCTTCCTTATTGTCTCTGAAAATATAATATTATATTTCTATAAAGTTAAAGTTTAGATATTTCGCAAAATGTATCACTTCGAGGGACTCGTCAGCGATATGATATTCTTCTTTTCGAGAATTTCGAGTCTCTCAACATCGTATTCTCTTACCCAAGCTATTTAATCGGAGCGGATCGAACCCTGATACTCATCCCAATATTTATTCAAACCTCGCCTCCATTTTGACCGTTACGTGGTACCATATTTTTATACGTTTGGTCACATTACCCCAGCCAATGGCATTTGAGTTCTGATCGACCGCTATCATTATATTTGTCTTCTATGCTCTAGCCCGAGTTGGCGCCAATTTCATTACAAGGGCAACAATGCACAGGCTGCGGTAAGTTTATTTTTCTTGTTTGTTTTTTTTTTTGTTCGTCCCGGTTCAAGAAAGGGAATTTATCAACTCTATTTTTTTCTTTCCTTGGCAAACCGTATCTGCACTTATATCTCACACATCCCCTACACACACATATAAAAAAAACAACCTTACCACAATTAATAAAAAAATCCTAATGGCCTACGAACAAAACGATGAACAAACAGTTTATGCCTGCATTTTTAAGTTATTATATTTTCTTCCGAGTTGAAATAAGTTTTCACAAAAGGCCACAAGTATGAGCCATTTAGTGAGAATCTAATTCAAGATTATTGATCTGTGATTGATTGTTGATCGATTTCTTTTTGATAACGGCTTATCAACCTTTTGCAGGTTATTTAAAGCCCGAAAATATTTATATAATGTAATAATTTTTTGGAGATAATAATGATTTACTGATGCAAATTTTCTAATTAACCCACTGCTGGAGGGGAAAAGGTGGATTCATTAGTTTTCTAAAGAGCATTTTCGCGTATTTGATTTGTGCCTAGGTTCTGAACAGGCTTGATATTTTACTAAATCTAAAAGAATGATCGATTGATTTCCTACGGCTTATCAACCCTTTGAAGTTTATTTAAAGCCAGAAAATATTTTTAGATTTTAAGAATTTTTGGGTGACAATAATGGTTTTAATGATAAGGTTCTTATTAATTAATCCATAGCTGATGGATAATTAGTGGTTTCATTAACTTTCCCAACGGTATTTGTGCGTAAGGGAATATAAAGAATCCGACTGAAATTAGAACTCGGCTCTCAGATTTTCAATTGTGTTATCCTTTTCACCACACTCTGACAGCATCTGGTATTCTCAAGCCGTTACCCACCTAGGTACTGACCAGGTCCGATGTTGCTTTACTTTGGTGATCGTACGGGAACCGGAGTTATTGATCTCTGAGAGACGTTTACTAAACAATATATTTTCAGAAGGCGTCATTTTTTTAATTATCAGATAAAGTAAAAAAGAAAAGAAAAACTCTTCATTTCTCGTCATGATGTAATATTCAGTGAATGGTTATCGCTTAAAACTGATAACGACGTCTGTGTTTAATTTTTTTCTTAATAAGTAGTACTTATATTGCTACCAGGTGCGTTGGAAGAAAAAAAAATCTACAATTGATTTCTTTTACTTATATTTTATGTTGGTTGTGTCCTAATAAAAGTTCTAAGCGAAAACAAGTGACAATTGTCAGATTGAGCAAGTTGTGAAAACGAGGCTATGCTCTCCTCTTTTTAACCAGTTTATCTGGCTGCTAAAGGGAGATCATTTATTAAAAGAATTGCTAGATTAACAATTTACGGCTAGGAAGGATAACTTCTCATATAACTATAAGTTTAATCAACAGTCAAGAGGACAGTTTGAAAGTCTAATAACTTACCAGCAGTAATGATTGCCGTTTACAAACTTGAAACTGCAACGAAGAATTATGAAATTAATCAGTCATTTGTTACAAAGAGAAAAGATCATGGAAGGTCATGTCTCTTCATAGCATCCCCTCTTTTATTGATGTTAGTAAAGCGTCTTTGTCTAACTCGTGCTTATCGATAAACTTTGAAGGTTATTTAAAGCCAGAAAATATTTTTACATTGTAAGAATTTTTTTGGTGGGGTGGGGGGATAAATCTTACTACTTATCCATAGCTGGGGAAGAAGAGATGGATCCATACCATTCCCAAGAGTATGAGTAAATGAATATAATGAACACAACGGGAATTGGAATTCTGACTCCAATTAACAATTCCGATAAATTATCCATTACACAACCCACGCATCGAAGGTTACAGTGTTGTTCCCAAGCGTTCACCCATCAACGTACTGACCAAACTCGACGTTGCTTAACTTCGATGATTGTACGAGCACCTGTATTTCAACATGATATAGCAGTAAGCTTAAATCCGAACGATTCGTGTTAGTCAGTGCTCAAAAAGTAGCATAAACTACGACATAGTAGAATGGTTAACATCAGAGAAAAAAAAGTACAGTGTTCGAATTCCGGTCGAGTTTGTTTGCGTCCACTTAATATTTTTTAGGGGGGAAAGGCATAAATCCATCTCTCTTTATACAATCCTATTTTCTCTCTCACACACGTACTCTCTCTCCCTCTCTCACACGCACACTGACATACTTTTCTAGATATTTTCAAAAAGGTCATTGTAAATCAAACATGGGTAGGCGGATGGTGTAACTGCTATCTGTTCCGAAAGAGATATCGCTGAGTCGAGTTTCTATCCCGTTCGTGTCCGTTACATTTACTATTTTTCATAAATAGTTATGGAAACGGCATGAATCCATCTCTTCCCTGTTACAGGTTACTGCTTAACGGAAGCGAGCCTAGGATAATTAGCCGCGTTGCCAACTAGTCTAATATAAGGACAACTCTTATTTCGAAAACGTATGTAGACCTGGCGAGGCACAATGAAAAAATTACGGTAGTTCAGAATTAAGTGTGTGATGTCTCTATGATGTCTACACAGCAGTAGGGGACCAAAAATGGAGTATTTTAGCCGTATTTGGGCTGGAGTGGTTCAATCCTCACATTTCAGCCTTGATAAAGTTCAAAAATGGTTCACATGGACTTGTGGGTGATGTCTTATTTTCAATTCTGCAATTTCTTACCCACAGACGCAATTTTGCAAGCCTGTCGCTAATCTCTCACTACTTCCGGGGCAAAAATTAAGATTAACTCTATTTTCTAATCCCACCACTTGAGATATTCACAGATAGGAATCGTATTGGCATTTCTACAGAATCGCGACATCGTCATTTCTCCTATGTTTCAAAATCTATGTTAAAAGTTCCATTGAAACAGCTTTCTCCAAGTACTATCAGACTGTGGAAGCAACATACGTCTGGCTGCTTCTCTGAACATTTCAATTTTGACCTCTTTAAATCATATAGCCACACTATCCTCATAATCATTTCGTACCACCTACTTTCATAATTATATAACACACTTCATTCACCGATACTCTTTTGTTTATAACTCTTTAACTTGAGTGGCTTCGAGCGTTACATTGAATACCTTTTAATATAAAAAAACGTCCCATATCTGTTATGCAATGAGAGCTGAGAAAATCCTCATAACTAAATTCTGTGGCTGAGATAGCTGCGTTCTAGAAATTTCGCGAGGATATTATTTAACAGTCCGACCGAGTCAGGCCAGAAGCCAGCTTTAACAATATTGATTTTGAAGGTATTGAAAAATTCACCGGGAAAAACCAGATTTGAATATAATGATTTTCAACAATTACCAGCCAAATTTGAAAGGCTGTTTTTCAAAATACTAAAGGTAA